ATGAGCAAAGAAAAGCAGTTTCTTGAGATAGAGTCTACTCCTGGTGAAGATGCTGTGAATCTTGTTGAAATGACAACAAAATCCCAGTACTGCTTGGATCAACCATGTAACTTTTCTAAGACTTAGTTTTTTCATTCGTGAAAGAGGGATAATATTTGTAAGTGTATAAACAAAGGATTTAGAACATTACATAAACTTAGCTGGTAAAGTAGTGGCAGAGGACTGACTTCAATTTTAAAGGACGTTCTACTGTACGTAAAATGCTAGCAAAGGTCATCATACACTATAGAGAAATCTTTTGTGAAGAAGAGTCAATGAATGTGGCAAACTTTACTGTTGTCTTATTTTCAGAAACTGCCACAGCCACACCAACCTTCAGCAACCACCACCCTGGTCAGGAGTCGTCAATATCAAAGCAAGATTCTCCACAACTGGTGCTGAAAGCTCAGCTGATCGTTAGCACTTTGTAGCAATAAAGTATTTTTAAACAAAGGCATGTACATTTTTTAGATATAATGCTATTGCATACTTAAAAGACTACATGATAGTGTAAACATAACTTCTGTACACACTGGGAAACCAAAAAATTCATGTGACTCACTTTATTGTGGTGGCCTGGAACCAAACTTGCAACACCTCAAAGGTATGTCTGCACAGGTTGCAAATCTGCACAGCATGTTATTACTGAATACTGTAGGCAACTGTAATAAGTATGTGTGTATCTAAACATATCTAAAAATAGAAAAGGTACACTAAAAACATGGTATAAAAGACAAAAAACAGTATACCCTTACCATGAGTGGGGCTTACAGAAGTAGAAGTTGCTGGGTGAGTCAGTGAGAGAGTAGTAAGTGAATGCGAAGGCCTAGAACATTACTATACACTACTGTAGACTTTATAAATATTGTACACTTAGGCTACCCTAAGTTTATTTAAAAATTTTTCTTTTTTCAATAATAAATTAACCTTAGTTTACTGTAACTTTATTTTAAAAACTTATTAACTTTTAGGCTGTTTTGTAACAACACAGCTTAAAACACACTGCGCAATGATACAAAAATATTTTCTTTCTTTATATCCTTATTCTATAAGATTTTTTCTAATTTTTTTTCCTTACTTTTAAACCTTTTTGTTAAAAAACAAAGGCACAAACATACACATCGGCCTAGGCCTACACAGTATTGGGATCATCACTATCACTGTCTTCCACCTCTACATCTTGTCCCACTGGAAGATCTTTGGGGACAATATCATGCATGGAGCTGTCATTTCATATAACAATGTCTCCTTCTGGAATACCTCCTGAAGGACCTACCTGAGGCCATTTTATAGTTAGCTTGCTTTTTAAGCCTAAAGAGTACACTGACAAATAATGATAAAAAGTATAGTACAGCAAAAACCAAGTGACAGGAATTTTTCAGCTCTATCATCATCTTATGAGACCACCATCATGTATGTGGTCTGTCATTAACCAAAACATCATTATGCAGCACATTACTGTATATGTATAATTTAAGGTGTTTTTAACATTTAACTACACAGAAAAGCTCTAGAATTCTTTATTTCATAACTATTAAAAAGAAGAGGGTTATTTTCTTGCGACTCCTAGAGTACAAAGATACTTTTAGGGAAGGAAACAAATAGCTAAAAAATACAAGTTGTATTGATAAATATACCTAGCATAAATTTAAGTTAACCCTCATAGTAATATGCTTGCATTAAAATAAAGATTCTTTCATAAGCTTAATCGGTTTATATATTTAACTTTCTCAGCTTCATTTCTTCAACTGAATAGTAAATACTCTGCCCTCTATCAGTTATGTTGTTTAAGTCAATAAGAATTTAGTAATAATCAGTAATTCTATACTATAATATAGTCTTCACAATGTTTACAGCCTTTTATCCCTTTCATATCACAACTGAACT